GACAGAATTTCTCGTCTCTCCGGGACTGCAAAAATGTCCGTTACACGATTTTTACAATACCAAAATTTTGGGGCTGGAAATTGGCGTACCAGTTGGTCCTGTATCATTGCGAGTGTGTGCAAATCGCAATGGATGGCGTTTACGCCCTTAGGAACAATTAAATCTGCGAGATCATTGAGTAATGACTCTTTGCAGGAGAAGCTGATCGCATGCCGTCTCTTGTTTCCAAAGAGGACAAAGCTGCGTTTTTGCGGAAGCAATTCAAGGGCTTATCCGTTGCCTCAATTGTGTGGGTCAGTGACAGCTCACTGTGAATCGTGGCCGCACTTGAAAAAGCTTCTTCCTCTCCCATAACGTTAAGTTGCTGTCTTGAGAGGGCATCCGCAACGAGGTTTTCCTTGCCGGGCTTGTACAAAATTTTGGCGCCGGACTCGTCGATGCGAGCTTTCCACCGTTTGATCTTTGCATTCGGATTGGATTCCGATACCGCGAAGGTCAGTGGTTGATGGTCAGTAAAGATGTTGATATCTTTCACTGCATATAGATAGTGACGTAATTTGGCCAATGCGCAAAGTATTGCTAGCAGCTCCCTTTCATTGGTGGCATAATTGATCTCTCTGTCCTTTAAATTTCTCGAGTTCATGGTAATGGGCCGTCCCTCGTGGGATAGGACTGCGCCAATTCCGTAAGCTGAGGCATCTGCCGTTAGATCAAATGCTTTTTTATAGTTGGGATACCTGAGGATGACCTCCTCGGAAGCTAGAATGTTACGCCGCTTGTGAAAAGCTAGCCGTTGCGGCTCGTTGAACTGCACCTGGATATTTTTCGACCTGTGTCTGCTGACACTACCGAATTCCCCTTTCAGGATGTCTGAAATGGGCCGAGCTATGGACGCAAAATCTTTAATAAAGCATCTATAGTAGCTGGCCAGGAGAAGGAATGATCTAACTTCGAACACGTTTTTGGGTTCAGGGAATTTCTGAATGGCCTTGGTTTTTTCTGGGTCAGTGGCAGCCCCGTTGCTGGTGACTATAAAACCCAAGAAGCTAACGCTTTTTTTGAAGAATTTAGATTTTTCAGTTGATACCCTCATATTAGCATCGTAAAGGCTTTTGAGAACCCAATCTACGTGCTGGATGTGAGAGTTTTCGTCTTCTGAGAAGACGATAACGTCATCGACATAAACATAGCAAAATTTGCCTATCTGCTCCCGCAGTATGTCGTCTACAGTCTTTGGAAAATGCTGGCAGCATTTTTTAGTCCAAATGGCATTCTGCGAAACTCGTACTTTCCTCCATTTACGGAAAAGGAAGTCTTTTCACGGTCGCGTTCTGCCAGCGTTATTTGGTGGTAGCCAGATTTTAAATCGAGCGTAGTGAAGTATTTCGCTCTGCCTAAATTCCCTAGTATCATAGAGATTTTTGGCATGGGATAGCGATCAGGTATTGTCCTCTCGTTCAATTTGCGAAAGTCCAATACGGCCGCCCGTTTCGTCGGTGCCCTTTTTGTCTACAACCCATATCGGGTTATTGTAGGATCTCGACTTCTGGATTATGCCCTTTTTTAGCAGCTCTTGAATCTCGCCATTAACGAAATCGGCTGCGCCCATTGGGTATGGGTAGAGTTTGGCATAAATGGGCTGCTCATCAACAGTTCTGATGGTGGCTACCACCGATGTGTTGTAAGGTAAAGCCTCCATGGGGTCCGCAAAGGCTTTTTTCCTGTCGCGGAGCATTGTTAAAAATGTCTTTCTGACCAAAGGTGGCGCATCTGAGCAATCCACTTCGGTGAAATTCACATCAGGGCACGAGTGAAAATCCATTTTCTCCTCTTTGTTGCCCCATTTGATGTGGCCAGAGGCCAGGCAAAGTGATGCTCCCGCCTGTTTAAGATGGTCGAGGCCTACGATTGCATCAAAAGAAGATAAGTCGGGTAAGATGAAGAAGGTGGCCTTCAAATCGAAAAGTGACACGAAGCATTTCTTCGTGATTGTGGTGTTGCCGTGAATTGAGTGAATTTCGAAGTGGTTTTCTACCGGGACGCATTTTAATCCTTCGAACGGTCGGATGAAATTTTTCGAGGCGCCCGTGTCAATAAGCAGTTTCATATTTATCCCCGCTACTCTTCGTCTGATGACGGGCAGCAGGGATTTTCCCCTAAAAAATGGACTACGTCTGAATCGTATTCGCAAATAGCATCATCGTTGATCTCTGCTATTGCGCTGGACGCAGCGTTGGCGTAAGATTTCCCTTCCTGATCTGAGCTTTGGGTGACGTGGTTTACCCTCTGCTGTTTTCTAGGGGCGCCTGTGCGCTCGGACGTTGCCGGTCTCCTATTCTGATAGGGTGGAGCTTGGGCAGGAATGCAAACCTTTGCAGAGGGGTCGACTTCCATCGGCTCCGGTCTACTCTGCAATCTGTTATTGCGCAGGTCAGAATGTACCTGCGCTTTAACTTGTTTGGTATAATGGGGATTTTTATTAATGCCAAACTGGGGGTCTGTTTGGGAAAAATTTCTATCCTGCTGGCGCCTTTGCTCCTTTGGACTCGTCTTACGGTCCCTATCCTCTAGACTCTTTGCAAACGATGTTGCGAACGTGTACCTTTCGTGGTTTGATTCCACTTCTTGCGCTAATGCCAACGCAGTTGGCATGTCCTTCGGCTTTGCCGAGAAGAGGACATCAGGTAGGCTGCGTCTACGGCCCGAAATAAGTACCCGGAGCGCATCGTCCCGGAATTTATCACACAAAATTCTTGCCGCCGATGTCTCGTACGACATCGTGGCTTTATTTGTGAGTAAGGTGCAGGAGTGTGAGGCTTCCCTGTCTGAGGGTGCCCATCTCCTGTTCAATGACGTGGATCTGCCGTTTGTCACTGTAAGTGAAATCCAAAATTTAAAATTGTGCCAAAGGGGGACAACACTGCATCAGCAGGGCCTCTTATTTTACTTCTTTTTATAATCACTGCCTGATAATGGCGTGAACTACCATTGTATCGTCTAAATATGTGGTAGGCAGCGGTGGCGGCTTGCCTCCACGAAACATATGACTCCTGTGCCCCCGCAAATTCGGGTAGGCACTTGACAGCGTCCAGGGGCTCGCTGCATTGAACTGTGTCCCTAATTTCTATGGCTGCATAAACCTTAATTTCTGGCGTTGGGGACGAACTTCGGGACGTCGTGGGCGCAGCGCGCAATTCTGCCACTTGGCTGGTCAATGCATCGATTACTTGTCTGAACTCCCGTTCTTTTTGTAAATTTGCGGCGGCCTGCCCGGCCAGGGCGTTGTCAATAGCCGCCTGCACTACTCCTCTAAGTTGTTCAGGATCCATGAGGTCTACCCTTTCGCCCGCTGGGGGGGTTTCTACGCGTGTTTTTCGGAGTGGAAGCTCGAAGGAGTTCTTCACTATCTGACCCTGAATCACTAGCGTACTGCTTGACGCTTCTATACTTAGAAAATGGCGAGCTCATATACGCACACAAAAGGATTAGAAAACGGGGACACAGAGCCGCCAAAATGAGAGCTCGTATTTCATCACTATATAATTCACCTAGTTCATTTTAAGGGTAGTAGATACCTGTGCCCTTGCATAAAAATTAGTGTAGTGGTAAATATATAAAAATTATAATATTGTAAATTATAAGAGATATAGGGTAAATAAGACTGACACACAGCCTCGACTCATAGTCAAAATATTTCAAATCAGAAAAATGAATGAATTTAACGTAATATATTTATATATTTTATTTTCGTTAATCAAATCCCGAATTTTATCGGGCTCGGAGCCGTTTTACTCTCGTAGTATTCTTTATTAACTAGTTCTACTTTGCAGACTGGTTAGAAAATATTTAAATTAGGGGTGCACTTACATTTTATTTACTGTGGTTTCTTCCTCTAAGATAATATTTTTTTTCCAAGAATGTAAAAATATCTAAGCGAAACCGTTGGGTTTTTATTGTTGAGCGCCAAATAATCTTGTTGAAGGGCGTGGCCTGAGGTGGTCCTCGATGGCCGCACTGTCAAGGGTGGTCTTCTTCAATGAGCCCACACGTATGTGCGGGAGAAACAATATGTGATACGTGTGTGTGGCCAAGGGTGGTCCTCTTCAGCCACACTGGTGAAACGCTGGTCTTCTCGGAGATGCCCGCTTGTAGGCGCGGAGGAAGCGGTCGCTTCTGGGAGCGCCCGTTATAGTTGAGTGGCGGCCAGTAGCTTGTGGTTGCCTCCCGTAAACGCGGGAAGAATATGTTTGCTGCTGGTCGCACCTGCTGAAGCCCGCTCGGTAGTGCGGGGGAGGAGGGGGCCTTAACTTGGTTCTCGTATGTGGAGATCGGGGATCCCTCGCTGCAGTCAGAGCCGGATGGCTATACCTTCACAATTGCTGACTAGGTTGATTTACGTTGGGAGGTAACTGCCCCCTTCGCCTGCTGGCCTAGAGACTCAGTCAGTGCAAAATAATAAGAGATATTTAACGGCGGTTGGCGGAGTTTTGCAATGCTATAGAACTTGTTTTCTTTATTCGTATAGAGCTTGAAGCGAACTAAACTTAAGGTTGACAAAAATGAAATTCATAGCGGCCACGCAAATATGCTGTGTTTGCCGGCTATGCACGAGCGTCAGCGGTTTTGGCCGCCGCTGGGCTTCGGACATTCGGTCATCGCCTCCGTCCGGTTAGCTACTTAGTTAACTTATATACAATTGATGGGGTCGGAAACGCTTTCTTCTGCCTGTTACATACTTTCCGACGAATCTAGTATACCCGTTTACTCTACAAGTAACGGGTATAAAAAGTAAAATACATTTTTTAAACGTTTTCCCTTCCATTTTTTTAAGGATCGAGGACCCGGACAATTATTTGAGGAAGTGAAAATATATTAACTAAGCCAGAAACAGGGCTTATTAACAATAGTTGTTTAAAACAAACATAAAACCACAAAAAATAAATATTAATTTAATATAAATATGTATGTATTTTATTTTATAAAAATATTAAAAACAAATATTTTGGTAATGAAATTGTTAATGATTTTTTGTTTAATGTCGTACTTGATTTCACCCAGGACACAGGGGAGTGAAGGAAATATTCTCTATTTTCGTAGGTGACACCTTATTGTATATATTCTGATTTACACGAGCGATTTCCCGTGGGACGTGTCACGAGGTGACCGCCCATACGACGAACACGTATAAAGCGTGTGTGAAATCACACCTGAATTCGAAATTTATATATGAGCTCTCATACAATTTTCTATATGGAGTTTTAGTAGTAGTATTATTACGAAACAATACAAATATAATAGCTGATACGATACTTATGCACTGACAATACATAAACTAATTATTATTAACGTTAGTTATACCATAAAAGGAATGAATTGTCCAAGAACGTTCTCTACATAAATGTGATGGGTTGTGCATCAATTTTGCCTGCGAGATTGCCGTAAGTTTTTCTCTATTTCGAACTGCCTGAGATCGGTTCTCTCCAAAAACTCTTGACGGTCCAAATATCTTTAATATGACAACATTCATTAAATGTTTAATGCATCTGTTTTTCAACTTACCCGTCCTTGCCTTTGTTATGGGTTCGCAGTTGCTCGTCTATGCCTTCATATTTTTTAAAATTTTTCCAATCCATCTGGGACTTTTCTAGCAATGATAATTTTTTTTTCTTTTCTGGTTTATTGATAAGAGAGCCGATTTTGTCTTTACATAACGGTCGTTTAAATGTCACGGGCCTTGAACCTAAAATAGGTTTAGTCTGCTTTTTCTTGATAACGGTGTTGTTTAATGTGTGTTCCGCTTCCTCTAGTTTTACTTCTGGTTTGCTAATGATATTGACCCCTTCTCCAGCATCATCTGTTTTTGGTGTGGTTTTACTTTCTACACTAACATCGCTAAGGAAATCTGCCCAAAGAGCAGCCGAGTGCGATTTATCAGCTTCTTCATCCGACTGCAGCTCATCCCCGTCTGTTATGTTGTTGCCATTTTTAGAAAATGCAAATTGCCGTGGCTTACGCAAAGTACGCGCGGAATGGTTGAATGATTGAGTATACATTTTTGTTTCCGGCTTGTCACTTAATTCATAACTGTCCACCGTGCCTGACCTCTCACGATCGACAAAATAATCCTTGTCGCTTGCGCAGTCGGATGCGAATTCCTCTCCTGTATACATACTGGCACCCGCTAGGTAATTTAAGAAATTTACAGAGTACTGGTTTATTACATTACAACTTACATTTGTATAACAAACATTTCTCATCTGTAAACAACATTTAATGCCATAACTTCACTGTTAAATAATATTAGCTAATAGCCTCTTCTCACAAGGCACATCCTTGGGGAACAGTTAGGAATTTCGGCATATGGTAAATTCCAGTTTCCACAGAGTACGTCCAACACCTCCTGCGGACAACATATCTTGGAACAATAGCTTTATACTTTTAAAAAGTTGAATCAATAAACATCAGAGCTTTACGTTTTTTCACAGTCCTTGGTTTGGTCATGATTAATAAGGAGTGATATCTCTTTTACCCACTGTACATTTTCTCAAAACATATGTTTGTTTACTACTTCATAAAAGAATTTAGTCCTAAGGCGTGGTACTCACATCAACGAAATCCGGGCACCGGGCCTGAGAGAGAGCGAGGGAAAATTAATAAAATACGCCTCTTGTCGATGCCTTTTTTAACCGCGGTCCCTAAGTTAATCCTTCATGGTATTCCACAGAAATTAAATCGGAATAGTTATAAACAGCATTATCAATAACAAGAACAAGAAAACTTTTGAAAATAAAATTTATCTATTAATTTAGCTCCGAAAACATGTCGAAACTCATTCATCAAGCCTAGAACTCACACCGACGAAAGCCGCGAGCTAGCAATAGGAGGGAGCGAGTGGCGATAGGTATCTAAGGCTTTCCTTCGTTTCCGTTTTTCACCGCGGTACTCAGAAGTGCCAAATAAATACCAGAAAGTACCAGACTTCTTTGGCTGCGTTTGTGCAGAAGATGTTGTACTGATACTTATATTTCTTTAGCAGGACCACCAGTATTACGATCTTGCTGGACTACTCCACCACTAGCTACTTGACAGTTAAAGCGGAGCTGGAGGATGCTGTGGATTCTATGGGGGGATAAAAATATTTAAATGGAAATATGGCTGACAGCTATGGGAAAGCTAAAAGAGCCATTACCAGCCATTTCCATCGATATGCTGCTAGTACCCTATTCACACTGATGCGGTTTCCGCTTCAGCGACTTTTTCATCCATACACGTGCTGCAGAGAGATTGGAAAAAGTCGCTACAACTCGGTTCAGCGGCAAATGGCCCGCACATGCAAGTCTATTCAGCATTCCATTGTTTTTATTTAGTATTTTTTAAGAGCTTAGGTGATTTTTGTACTTGGAGTTTCCTTAATATTATCGTTTGAACTGCAATGTCGCCGGTATAAAGAAATTTTTCCTGCTGCAGGGCTGAGGAGCCTTCCAACGGCTCGGAATGCAGCCATTAATATCATATTAAAATAAATATTGATATTTTCTATTTAAGCCTAGTACTCAGATCGGCTAAGAGTTTCACTAGTCGAAAAATCTTATTCTTTGTAGTGTGACCGAAGTTTTCAAAGTTCACCCGCAATGCATGTAGCATGGTCTTGCTGTCAAGCAGCTGGGTTTGTTGTCAAACGGAAAGCAAATCAATTTGAAAAATTTAAAAAGGAGGAGTCTGCTGGTACACAAAGAAATTTGAATAAAATTAAATGGAATGTTCAACGAATGTTTTCATTTATGTAAATTAGTAGTTTAAAGCTTCCTTCTCGTCACACGGATGCTTCGCCATCTTTCCCGCTCCACCGCAGTACAGCTCCGAGTCATAATAGGCATATTGGACCTTGAGGAAGTGGGAGAGATGCTGCAGGAAGTGGCTTCTCCAAATGTTCCTTTGCGGGCGCCCTATTTTCCTCCTCCCAATAGAAGTCAGTGGGTCCTCCAGCTTCGCTTAGGCTGCCAAGTAGCTAGTGGTGGTGGTGTACGGAGTCCTAATGGAGAGGTCGTCGGAGATCGTATTACTGGTGGTTTTGCTAAAAAGACACTTCTATTAGTACAACGCAACCAAATTCTTTCGGCATGTTTCTTCCCACTGGGGTTCTCTGTTGGATCTCCTCCAGCACTTCAACTATTCTGCGAATTTGTCCCTTTTGTGGAATTGCTTCCTGTCGGTGATATCCCACAATAAAGGGCATAAGCTTGGATTTGGCGTCTGATTACATCTGCACTGACCTCCTGCAGGCGTTTTTGGGGTTTTCTTCTTCTTCTATTCTTTGGGCCGCGGCTAACGGCGTTCATCGAAAATTCACTCTCGAAATCTGGTATTTTTCTGGTATTTCCTTAGCTCATCTGAGTTCCACGCTGAAAAACAGACCCGACGAAAAGCGTTAGCCACGTATTTGCCTTTGCTTTGCTTTTGTACACACATCGACGAAAACTGCGAGCTAACCATAGGAGTGAGCGAGAGAAAAAACGCGGCTAACGCCTTTCGTCGAATGTGTGTCCCAGCGCGGTACTCAGATAAGCTAAGAAAATACCAGAAAAAATACCAGACTTAGCGAGTGAATTTCGATGAACGCCGTCGTTTTGGCAGAACATATAGTAATTCGATCTCTGACAAACTCTCCATTGAAGAATCGCTGGACTCCATGTCCACCAGCTACTTGGCAGCATAAGCGGAGCTCAAGGACCCGCTAGCTTCTATAGGGAGGAGGAAGCTGGCCGCCCGCTAACAGACAGCTGGAGAAGCCAAGACTAGCCATTGCTGGGATGCTAGGCGACTTCCTGCATCATCAGCGAAACAACCCCGTTCCCATTACGGCTCCCATTTACTCAAAGCCCATGTTGGAATATTGGGAATTGGAGCTGGACTGCAGATATAGTGGAGAAGATGGCGAAGCATCCTCGGCCTCAAGGAAACCTTAAACTATTAATTAACATAAATAAAAACATGCTATGAAATCTTCGGCCAATCTACTAGTGAAACTAGTGATATTCATCTGATCTGAGTACTACGCCTTAAGCATCCATTTTTGGGAGATGGATGGGCCTTTAAATGGCTTCTTCTTTAGATTAATAATGTATAATGTTTTGGCGCAACAGTTTCCAACAACAACTTGCTAATAAAAGCTGACCTAGACGATTGCAGTGCAAATGCATTTATTTCCCAAACAAAACTCCTAAAACGCCTAAGTTCGTAAAAAATACTACAAAAAATGAAATACCGCATATAAGGTCGTACTTTCCGCTAAAGCAGAGTTTTAGATGTATATAAAATTAGCGTTGGTGACTTAGCGGCAATGGAGGAACGGTGGAAACAGGAGCATGGGTCCAATTTTTACTTTTGATGTTCTCGGCTTCTTGAGGCCGAATCGAAAAATAATAAATGCAGAATTGTTTAGAATGAAAATATCTATCGATCTAGATAGTTTGCGAACATATCCGACTTCTAGAAATCTATTAAAAATTTGTTTAAAAAATCAGGTCCCAACAATTTTGTTTATTGCTCCCCTCACAGAGGTTGTACCAATATGCACGATAAACCTGAATATTGGGCGTTAATTCAAGCTTCTTTTCAGAAAGTATCATTGAGCGAAGGCCGTCACTTCCCCATACAAAAAAGGGTGGCATATACAAGGGTGGTCAAAAGTATTTTCACAAAAAAAAAGTTAAATATATTCATAATTTGAACTTACATCTTGTTAACTTTGGCATCAATGGAAAGGTAATTGAAATGCCGTTTGAATACTATAATACATTTCTTAACCCATTCAGTACTTATTGAAAAGGACGAATTTGTGTGAAAATGTCCTTTGTGAACTTTTTTCCTCGACTTGAAAACTTAAATTTTTTGATGCAAAAAGTTTCTTCAAACAAAAATAATAGTAACTGCAAAAAGAATTTTTCAAAAATCATTTTGCTTATATTTTTTATGATTTTTTAAAGGTGACAATGTCGGAAAAAATTTGTATGAAAAAGAGAAAAATATGGCTAAAATGCATGTTTCTAAGCATTTTCAAAAAATCATAAAAAATATAAGCAAAATGATTTTTGAAAAATTCTTTTTGCAGTTACTATTAGTTTTGTATAAAGAAACTTTTTGCATCAAAAAGTTTAAGTTTTCAAGTCGAGGAAAAAAGTTCAAAAAGGACATTTTCACACAAATTCGTCCTTTTCAATAAGTACTGAATGGGCTAAGAAATGTATTGTATCATTCAAACGGCATTTGAATTACCTTTCCATTGATGCCAAACTTAACAAGATGTAAGTTCAAATTATGAGTATATTTAACTTTTTTTTGTGAAAATACTTTTGACCACCCTTGTATTAAATTGCACTCGGCTCCACTCTCACACGTTATACCAACATGCACGTCAGATTCAAATTTGAACCAATAAGTTCCAAGACATGAACCACTATGTAAAAGATGTATTCGGGACACTAACCATGTGGGAAAACAATTATGTTTCGACGCTCTCTCTATTCTTAATTAATTTGACTTTCACAGGCGTTGTACCAACATGCACGGTTCCTCGTTGGAAAGGAAATTGATCTCACTAATTAACTAATGCGATATGGCAAACGAAAAGCCGTCAGTTTTTGAGATAAAACGCTTAGTGCGTTGTGGGCCTCTCATATGTTCCAAAATTGTAACTAGGAACACATTAACCTTATATCGATACCCTATATCGATTCTTCGATAAAAAACGAATGCACGAGGGCTGGAGAAGAAATAATTAATATATTTTACTGAAACTCTTAAAATGGGAATTTCCAGTAAACTACGGACACGATTTTAATAAATAATAATTCAAATTGATCAGGCTAGAGAGTATAATCGAAGGCATGTCTTTAATTCATTGAAAATATTCTTTAGCATAATTTCGTTTTTATCGAAGTATCGATATTGGGTATCGATATACGGTTAACAATTTTGTTCAAAAAACTCGATATTTCTCTTAGTGTAATTTATATTATAAACTTATCGGTTTTTATTTAAAATTTTTAAATTTGGTTGCGCTCTCTTTGCTCTTCTTGATCGGCGTCGCTTTTTTTGTAGTGTGCCCGTTCATTATTATTTACAATATCTCTTAAAACTAAATCGATTAATACTAGATTGCACTAAATATACTAAATAACATTATGCACTGGAATTACACAGCTTACATTCGGCCAAT